CACGTTGGTGATGAAGCTGCGCTTGTCCTAACATGTTGCCATATATCGATCATTCGCATCGGTGCGGATGCCCGGTCGTACCGAGGTCAAGACGTCGTTGGGCGCACACGTGTAGCTCGACCCGTCGCGGCTCACGACGTCGCCGACGTTGGCACAGAGGTAGCCCGGATCGCTGCGCAAGGAATGGCAGGAGTCGTCGCGCAGCTCATGATGGATCGTCATCGTACCTGAAGAGCTTGGACGTGTCGAAGGAGATGCGAATGGGATTGAAGAGACTGCTGGCGACGGCGTCGCCGTCGAGGCGGCGACTTGTCGACGACACGAGGTTCTGCGGGCTGCGCAGCGTCGACGCATCGACGTCGGCCTACGACCTCGCTGAGCGTAGCAGGAGCGAGGATGGCATAGTGTACGAGGAAGCGCTCCATGAGCTCGTCGTGGCCGCAGTCGTGGCCGCCCACCGCGCTGTGGATCATGACCAGCATGATGCCAAGACAGGCGCGCAGCATGTTCATCGTCGTCTTCGCCTGTGCTTCTCTTGGCAACTGCCAACCGACAAGATCTCGAGCTGCGAGTTCACTCGATTAAAGTATACAGCGGCAGGGCGCGTGGGGATTGGCTGGAGTTCGCGATCTTGGGCGGGTGTCGATCAAAATCGAAGCGATGGAATTTAGAGAAAAATTGCGGGTTGTCATCTTCAAGCAATGTACAATATTTCTCATACTACGTTGTAATAACTATGTGGTTATGTGGGGGCAATTAGATACACGTCGTGTACTACCTCTGGCGTCGCCCCCTTTCCTTGAAAGCGCGATGGGACAACTACATTTTTAAACACTACTTGGATATACATTTTACGAAAGAGTTTCGACGGCGGCATCTCGCGCAGCTAGAGCGTTCTGTGAAAAACGCGCCCTCAATAAAATGTCTGGTGGGCAAGGCAGCTCGCAGTGGCGGGTTTCTTGGGCTATGACTACGTATTGATCGGAGCTAGGTTTGGCTTCGAGAGCTCTCGAACGAGCCCAAGCACATACCCCTTGCAGCAGTAGAACACCTCGTTTAAACACGTCAAAGGCGCGAAGGGCCTCGAGACATGGAGCTTGCGGTCGGAGGATACGCTACCGGAAGCCGCCAAGATGGAGCCATCTATGAAAATACCTTTTTTGAAACAGCGCCGTCGGCCCAATTTTAGAGTCGCGTCGAGGCATGGAGATGCGCCGCCTCACGACGCCGGTGGTCATCGACAACGACGATGACGACGACGACATGGGTCGTCGGCTCGAGGCGCCTGCGTCGGGGGCATGCAAAGATCCAGCAGGCCCCGAGTCGGCCGACATCTTCCCGCGGGTACGTACTAGTCCATGACGAAGGATAGAGACGATAAGATCTCTTCTGCCTAGTGGCTCGTCGAGCGCAAGGACTTTCAGACGTTCTTTCCACGCTTCTCCAACAAGGTGATCCTCGAAGACGACAAGCTCCGACACGCGGCGCAGAAGGACCCGGATGCGCGCAACGGCATTGACATTCAGCTCCTCTCCAAGTGGCTCGTCAACGTTCCGGCGCTCAAATCGCTCAACGTGCCACAGGCCGGCGAGCTCGCCAAGCGCATGCGCTGGGCGTCCGTGGACCCACTCGAATTTGTGTTTCATAAAGGCGACATTGGCGATGCCTGCTACATCCTTGTCACTGGCGAAGTACGCGATCGTTTTATCATCTTCCACAACATGAACGCTCCAGTTGCGAATGAGTTTGGTGTGTAGGTGTACGTGGTCGTCAACAACGAGCGCGTCGGGACACTCAAGAAGGGCATGAGCTTCGGCGAAGTCGCGCTCGAGCTCGAGGACGCGCGCCGCACCGCCGACATTCAAGCGAGCGAGCGCGGCGCCGAGCTTCTCGTGATTCGCGGCGAAGACTACCAAAAGAACGTGTTTCGCTACCAAGCCAAGCGCCGAAAGAAGCTCACGCGCTGGCTCCGGAACGACATTGCGATTTTCCGGGATTTTTCCGACAACAAACTCCGGTATTTCGAGTCGGTCTCAGTGGACCTCTTTCTGCACGCGGGCAACTGCGTCTACATGGAAGGCGAAGACGTCGGCGCGCTCTACTTTGTCAAATCTGGTATGGACGCTCTACTTGTATTTATATCATCCGAATCGGCGACTAGGGTCCATCTCGCTCGAGAAGAACGTGCTCTTTGAAACCAAGCATCGACGCCCCGTGACCGTGCATTCGTGGGTCGTGCAGTCCCACAAGACGAGCGTCCAAGTGCCATGCTTCACGGTCGAAGCCACGGGCTCGTTTGGCATGGAATTCTTTGTTCAAGTACGCGTCTCAAGCAATGTCTCTAACACTAAGCTGCGTCCACTAGCTACCAGCACGGAGCCATACGGCTGTCGTGCTCACGGATACGCACTTGGTCGCGATCAACAAGGTCGACTGCGCCTCGACCATGCATACGTTTAGCGTCAAAGCCGTGGACCGTCTGTGTGAAAAGTACCGACGCATCCATGTGTGCACGCTCGAGACAACACGTTGGGGCATTCGTAGGTACCGCGATATTTGGAACGCCACCGTGACGTCGACGCAAAAGCAAGTACGTGCGTACAACAGGCACCAGCGACACAGCAGCGCCCTCGTACCTCAAGGTACACAGAACATCTATCAACTGCCCGGATACGAGTGATGCGTTTTGTAGTTGGCGCCAACAGCCCGGTTTTTGTGCGGCAGCGGCATCCCGACTCGAAAGAAGAACAGCCGAATCACCAATTCCCAAGCCTCGAGCGGGCAGCGTGGACAGCGACGAACGCGGTGGTCGCCAAGGCCCAGCGCGGCTGCGACCCTGCGACGACCAACTTTTCACTCTCGTCGTCCACGTCGTGTACACAATTCTTTGGCCTTGCAGACCTGCTGACTGTTGTGTGTTTTAGCGCCGACGCTCGGTTCCACGACGGCGTCGATGCTGTCCTCCATGTCGGCGTCCGTATCGTCGACAGTCTCCATGAAGAGCCTCCCGCGCCTATCATCGTGATCGTACACTGGGCGCACCATCCGCATCCTCCGCATCACTCGACATGTCTTTCACGCAAATGCACGAAAAGTATAGAATGTTAATACTTGCATGCATGTGCTGTGTACGGTTTGTTGCATAGTAATCGAGGTCGGACTTACTGCTGGATGAGCGGCTGCCACGTGCACTGGTTCGAGAGCTCAAACTTGTGCTTGAAGAGCCCGGCAATGTCGTCCCAGTGAAAGTCGTCAAAGTTGCGGATGACCACGTTGTGCTCATCGATGACAAGTTTATGCGGCACGGCGTGCACGCCATAGCCTACACATCGCTCCAATTGGATGCAGCAGTCCCAGTACTCGTACCGTCGGGGATGTCGTCGCAGCCAAAATGCAGCACGGTCGGGACATCGCCATTGTCCAAGTACTCGGTGCACACGCGGGGTTTCTTCGTTTTCGGGTTCTCGGCCCGTACAAAGTTGAGTGCGTTCTGAATCTAAGGGCGACGCATCGATTCATAGCGCAACCATCGAGAGGCGTACGTGCTTGTCGACGTTGATTAGGACAAAGTTGACGAACGGCGTCGGAATGTTGTGCTTGGACCAGCGCTCGAACTCCTCGACGGCCGGGACGCACGAGTTGCACCACGTGGCGTAAAACATCACCACGGACGGCTTGCCGTTGCCCGTGATGCTGTTGAAAGGCGTTGTCGCCCCCGTCTCGAGGTCCACAAGGTCAAAGTCCGGTGCGTCCTGGTTCACAATCACGCCCGCCATGCCGCCTTTTGCTCCGTTCCAAAATGAATCATATTCTTCGTTTGCAGGGTTTCGTGGATTCGAACAATAGATCTTTCATGGTACAATCGTTTATGGCGGTCAGGATCTCCCTGCAAAATAAATTAAATCAATTAACGCGATCGTGGCCAAGAAGAACGTAGATTTTTTCTTGGCGCCACAAGGAAGTCGCACGGGTTCACTACTCATGGTGTTTGTGCAACCAGATTCAATGGGACAAGGTGGAGCATCCAAAATGTCCTTTGTAAAGACGAGCGATTGCATCGATGGAGCTGGCGCCAGCGGTACGACTCGGTCATTCTACCGCTAACAGCCCCGCGCTCTGCAAAGCTAGACTACAGCGAGAGCTTACAAAACGGCGTAGGCCAGCGCCACGTACACTGTGGGCCAGGAGAATACCGCACATGCCACCCACTTGACTCTGCCACTTCAATTCGACATCTGATTGGCCAAAAGGACGTGCTGGCTGCACGGCCTCCACGCGGATTGGTTGAAATTCGACATGAAACGCCGAAAATCTTAGTGACGAGTCGGCTGCGACCACTTTGCACTTGTCAAGTTGCATTTGCATATCTTTCGAGCACTGCCACGATGGTCGTCCCGCTTCCTGCTTCGCTGCGCGG